CAGGAGATTTCAAGATTAACTAGTGATCTGAAGCCTGGTTTTGATGATGCTGCTGAGGTGGAGTTGAAAATCACCTCTTCCTGAAGAGGATAAAGTGAATGTGCATGAGGAGGAAGCAGAACATCTGTAGAGAAAGTAACTGTCTGGTTACTCGATTGTCTGGAATACCTGAAAGGAAGATTAATTTTTTTTTTTTTTAAGACTGTAATTTTTCCCATAAGTTTTCAGTTTTATTGTGCTGTTTGGTGATAATTCTTTTCTTTCCAGGTTGTGTGTGGCTCAAAGTACATAGTAAGAAGAGAAAATGCCCGGGATCATGTGGACTTGTTGGTTTCCTCACGTCACTGGCCTCCAGTGTATGTTGTTGATACAGCCTCCTCAGTGGCACTGTGTGCAGACGTCTGCTGTCCTGGCTTGACTTCCCAGATGTGGGGGAAAAACCAGGGCTGCTTCTCTGACCCCATGGATCCTCCAACGGTTAGTTATGTCCACTCTGCCATGCCAGTCCAATATGGAAAAGTTTCAAGTGAGATTTAAGTTTTAAAAAAAAAAATTTTTTTTAAAAAGTACATGTAACCTGCATTGTGCCTCAAGATAATTTGACCTGATAAGTATCTCCTGACTCACAGCTTTGCCAGTGCATAGCTTCTAAGCATAGCAGAAAGCGTTAAGTGTTGCTTGGGGCATTGTGTTAGGTTCATGTTCCTTAATAAGAATAGCTGTGCTGGAAGCGCATTGTAACAGTTCAAATCATGAACTTTGGAGCACATAGCTTATTTTGACACAGCAACTTCTCTCAAACTACTGCTGTTACTTGAGAAATGGGAGAAGAGGAGGGTTGCTAGTGCCTTGGGGTTATCTGTGAGGGTACATGAGCGAGGAGGGACTGTACAGAACCACCTTTGTGGCATTTCGGGGAAGCCTGAATCAGTTAGCCTTCCCTCTGTCCTGGGTCATTGTGCTGGTTGGAGTTCAGCAGAATGGTTTTGCTTTGTTCTTCTTAGTTGTGGGGAAGTTGCTTCTTGTTCTACCTGGTGCGTCTCTCTCTCTCTCTTCTCTCTCTCTCCCAGTATGTGTCCTGCCCTGAACTGCTAGACCAGCACTACAGCGTAGACATGACCGTGACTGAGCACTCTGTTCAGCACCCAATCACCAAGTCGTCAGCACGCCGAATTGTTCACACAGGTTCGGAGCAGAACAACCACCGAGATCCAACGGCTCGGCATCACTGCATCTCTCTGTGCCGAGAGCTGGAGCCTTACAGTGCCATCATCGCTGCTATCAAGGACAGCAAAACTAGTAACATCCGCCAAAGGCCCATCACCTTTGAGAACGCCACGCACTATTACCTCTACAACCGCCTCATGGACTTCCTCACCAGCAGGGAAATTGTGAATCGGCAGATCCAGGAGATCGTACAGAGCTGCCAGCCTGGGGAGGTGGTAATTCGCGATGCTCTCTACCGGCTCGGAGTGGCCCAGATTAAAACAGAAACAGAAGAGGATGAAGAGGGGAAGCAGGAGGATGATAGAGGTTGCTGAGTAACAAAACAGCTTGTTGGTTTCTCTCTCTGGTCATGTGGATGGGCGGGCTGGTCCAGCTTCTGCAAGGTTTGGGCAGCTATCTGGCTTGAGAGTTTATTTTTACAGATTGGAAGTGTGATGCCGATGGCTTTGACTGCTGTTAATGACCAAAGAGCTGTGTGCTTCCAGAGTGTCACGATAGCTGCTGCAAGCATGGGTCTGTCACCCCCCTTGCTGAAGGCCACAGCTGCCTCCCGAGGTGTGCGATGGACCCACTGTTCAGTGGTGTGAAATGTCCTCCCTGCGGCTGGCGAGTGGAGAAGGGAGAGACGTTTCTGGTAGTGAGGAGTATGCATGGTCAAGTGCACAGGTTTTTTTCATTCTGAATCTTGCTTGTTGACTTCTTTGTGCATATTGGTGGCAGGGCTGGGGGGTGTGGGAGCAGGCATGAAAGGCAGACAGCTCAGAAGAATTCCCGCAAAACATTCTGAGCGAATTAGTTTAGGACACTGACTCCTGCTTGGAAATCTTGCAGAGCTCTTATATGCATTGGCTGTGAGGAGTCTTTAGTTGAGGAGGAGCCACGCAGCTTTAACACACACCTGGGGAACCTCCCTGGAGGGTGTGCTCCTGGGTCCAGGATTGTGGGTGCTTGGGCTGCAGGAAGTTTCTAGAATTGTTTGTCCCTTCACATGAGCACTACTAATTTAGAAGCTGAAACATACAGTGAGTGAGAAGTGTTCTGTATGTTAAGGTAAGATTTGAACGGGTGAGCCCCAGGGACTGTTGCAGGGCTGTGTGAGTGCTGTGCAAGGTGGTGGCTGTGGAAAGGAGAAGGACACTCACAATTTCTGTGCTGTCTTCCTGGACACTGTTTAGAACACAATCACAAAGGCTGTCTGTGGAATCAAGGCGAGACAACGAATGCAGTGCCACCAGAGCGAGCAGTGTTTGGTATTCCTCCCTCTGAGGAGGTGCTGGGAAGCTGCATCCATGTGTGCCATCTGAGCACTCTGTCAGGTGTTGTGTTTGCCCTGCCCATGTCCGCAGAGTGCTGTCTGGGTTAGAGAAGTCTTGTGCTGCTTAGGGTGCTTTATCAGCTCCTTGAGAGGGGTCGGGCTGAGACCTCTGTCCCTGCAGCATGTCTGACGACCACCCTGGGCTGTGGCTGTAAAGCTGTGGCATGTCTGCTGCCAGCTCCCCTTTGCTACTGCTGGTGGTGAAGGTGGATGGATGATGCTTGCTGTTTGCAGAGGAGAGGAGGGGCATGCTGGAGTGCTAAATTGCCATCCGGGGAGTTTATTTTGTCTGAGTGAGCAGTGGGGAAGATTTGGAGGCTTGCGGTGTGGTTGAAATCTCCCTTCTGTGAAGGGGAACCTATTGAGTACCGTACTGTTAAAGTAAATGTATTGAGTCTGAGCAAATGCAGTAATTATGGCTTGGGGTTTTTCTGTTAAGAACATTAACTTATTATAAGAGACATTAGTGACTTTTTTCAGTCAGTGATAAAGTTTAATAAATTATCTCCAATTTTTGGGGTAAAACTGGCCAAGTGACTTTTTTTGTGTGTGTGCAAGACAGAGAGGACTGCAGTGGGGAAGCGCACAAACCCCATGGGGACGTACATCATGATCTCAGCCTGCACTGCCGTGGTGCTGGGGGAAAAGCCTGGTAGTGTTTGTTAGAGGAACAGCTCAAGAACTAGCTAAGGTATAGTTCTTATAAGTGGCAAGAAAGTAGCTTCTGCAGTTGGTTGACTCCGCTGGTCTACGAACTCTTGTTCTGCAGTTCCCTGCACAGGGCAGCTCCAGAGATGACTTTCGTAGGAGAGAGCCTGCAGCAGGTGACAGTAACTTCTCTTCAGGATGCATTTGATGACCTGGGCCAGAGCTCCTGCTGCAGCTAAGCCATTGCTCCAGGAGGTTCTGCTGCAGGAAGTTGGAGTCTGGTCAGCAGGGCCCTTCTGCAGACTGCCACCATGTGTGCCCATCAAACAGTGACCATAACATTGTCATAAATGAAATTACTCCCCCATGATATCCATGCACAGGGACTACAAACAGGCCAGTCAGAGCAAAGTGCTTTAAAACCTTGCTTTTAATAAGTTTTTTGCATTATACAAGATTGAATGGTTTTGAGAACTAGTAATGAGAAGTGTCTCTGAGGAACTGGAGCAGAGTTGCAGGGTGTGAGAGGATGGGCTGGTACATCACCTGTGCTCTGACCCATTCCCCTCTGAGAACAGTCCTTACACCCCTGGAAGACACTTGTTTTGTTAAACATCTTCTTTTATTCTTTATAATGCTGATAGATAGATAGAAATACATTAGCTTCTTATTTAGTAAGGAGGAATGAATCACTTGGTGTTAGCACAAAACCAGGTTTGATATAATCAGAAGTCACCCACAATGTAATTGCACACAGTATGGCAGAGGCCACCTGCCACACAGTCGTTCTGTCTCGCTGTAGTTCACCTGAGCTCTGTCAGTGCTTGTACCTGGAATACTGATGCTTTACCCACTGACTTGGGTGAAGCTATGAAGGTTCGTTAGCCACTTCTGATAGCTACACAGGACTGGGTGGCTGGGGTATTAGTAACCCTGAACAAGAGCTAGATGAGAAATAAATTTAAGGGCATTAGGCCCTAGCTTATGAAAAAAAAAATACCTCAGCAGTACTATTAAAATATACTCAGGAAAATATGTACAAGAGCATATCTGTAATTGTGACACAGGCAGTGATTGCTACATGTTTAATAATTCAGAAGTTTTGTAGGATATGTGTTATGTTGATCATTCCCAGATCTGTTTAAGCTGCCATTCTTTCCTGGATTGGGGTTGTGTTCAGTGCTCACATGGAAGAACACTGGTTACCTTCTATATTGTACCTGAGAAATAACTGCCCCTCTGTCCTGTTACTGCACAAGTTCACATAACCCTGGGGTTGGCTCCTTGGCTTGCTTCACTCAATCCCTGCAGAAGCAGCAGCTACAGAGAGGTAGATTGCATGAGGAAATATAGAGGTTAACGCATATTTAATAAGTAAAGGCTTTGCCTATATCTAAAGGCTGACTCTGCAACATCCAGGGTCAGACTGACAGAGGGAAGAGAGCAGGACAACCAAGAGGGAGGGCTGCTGCTGGCATGTGGAACAGTTCTAGCTTCAGCGCTTGAATTTCAAGATGAGTCATGTGAGTGACTTTTGGAAGTGTCTTATGTGGCTGCAACTTGTATTTAAAAAAAAAAAAAAACTACAACCCTGCACACCTCACAGCCTCTTCAGGGAGTGGAGAGGCAGGTGACAGGGACCCCTCTGTACCTTGCGGAGATGGAGTGTGTTATCATCCTAACAACTCTATGCTACACTTGAGAGAAGACTTTAGGGACCCCAGGGTGAGTCCTGGGTTTGAGTCACTCCAGCTCTGTCCTTTCAGTGAGGGAGTGGGTAACACTCATACTTCAGAAAGCATGGAGAGGAGAGCCAAAGCAGAAGGCATCTGTGTCCTGGGGCGAGCAGAACCGTGCACTCTGCAGAGCCAGGAGGGCAGGGATCTACCCCGGGGCAGTGGTACCAGCTAACAGAACTGATAGTTGTTGCTCTTGAGAAGGGGCTGGCCACTCTCCTCTTGCTCGCAGGATTCCTCGCAGCAGCCAGAGGTATCACAGCCACTGTCTTCCTCAGCAGTGGAGGGGAGGTTGGTGTAGTCCTTGAAAGCAAACCCCCCCCCCCCAAGCGTGTTTAAGTCCCTTCAGTGGTGTACAACATCTGTTTCTGCATGGATGACCAACTGCTAACTCAACACTACCCTTTGCTGTGCCCACAGGGCACAGTCTAGCTGGCAGGACAGGCATGCCTGTGCTTTTGTGGAGCTGCAGGACAACTAGTCATGAGGCAGTGCACCTTTTGTCCAGCTGCACACCAAATCCAGGGGAATGGGGCAGGGCTGCTGCACTGGTAGTTGTATTGCTGCCCACAGAACACTCAACTGCTCCTGTCAGCTAAAGGTAAGGGACCTCACCAGGGAAATTGTCCAGGAGCTATGTTCATAGGGAGAAAGCACATTTCCCTTCCCCCTTCTCCTCTCCAAAGGTCCTCACCTGCTCCTTGTGCACCTCCAGTTCTTTCTGAATGAAGCAGCCGATCTGGTCGAAGGTAGGTCTCTGCGTGGCCTCCAGGCTCCAGCATGCCTGCATGATTCTGTACCTGCAGAACCAGAGAGGCACAGGGCCATCACACTGCTGCTGCAAAGCTGCTGAGGGTCTGCACCCCTAGGCTTTTCCCTGCAGTGCTTCACATTTCAGGCACACAATACTGAGCAGTACCTTGTCTTCTTGTCTATAAAACCCATGGTCAGGGCATGTGCAGTGCTCCAGGGAAAGGTGAGCACAGATGTGGATAGAGCAAACTAATTATCAACAAGGAGCTGTATGCCTCCAGTACTTTTTTCTTTAAGCTTAAACTCATTCCCCTCCTGTAACCTGCTCAGGCTTGTCTTCTCATAGTCCTAGAGTCAAAAGTAGCTGACTGAAAAAAACAAAAAAAACCTCACCAAGTTCAGGAATGTAGACATACAACATGACCTGTCCATATACAGAGGAAATAGTGGACAGAGCATCATAACTGACTGCCCCAGGTCTTGCTTTCCTGCAGGAACAGCCTGGCAGGATCCAAGCTGAACCTCCAGGACAGGCACACCTGGGAGCAGCAGGCAGACCTGGCACCAAGATCCCTGTGCCATCTCCCTGCCTGCCCCCCCCCATGAAGCAACTCCAGCTCCCCTGTCACCCGTTGGGTCCATCTCAGCACATCCACTCACATTTCCAAGGGAGCAAAGTCAGGCCTGGCCATCTGATATCCCTGCTTCACCATGCTGTAGAACTTGCTGTTCACCACCATGCCAGGATATGGACTTTTACCTGTGACAGAGGAGCAGAGGTGGCTCTCAGGCCAGAGGCTTTAACACTCCAGCCTTGCGCAGTGGGAAGATGCAGCCTGGAGCATCGCCTGAACCAGCGCTACTTGTTCTCAGGGAGTTCTGTTAGAGCAAATCATCCAGGATCCGTTGTTTTTAACAGTCTCTTTGGAAGTATAACACACTCTTTCATAGCCCTGATAAACTAGATTTTTGTCAACCTTCCTCCTTTCTTGGAAATTTTTCTGCAGAGAGATTAGGGCAGTGGTAAGCCATAGAAAACAAGAGAGGTTTACAAGCTCACTTCTTTCTTACCAAGGGAGAAGATTTCCCAGAGAAGGATGCCGTAAGACCACACATCACTCTGCACTGTGTAAATGCAGTCAAAGATGCTCTCTGGGGCCATCCATTTCACGGGCAGGCGGGCCTGGAAGAGCAAAGTGTCCTGCAGACTGGGACAAGCTGGCAGCTTACACTACACCCCATCCTTTGTGTGCCAGCCTCACCCCCACCCTCGTACTGTCTTTTGTCCCCATTTTAATTACTTACATTGCCTTTTACAACATAGTTCGAGTCATTCATGATATCACGGGCCAGGCCAAAGTCACAAATCTTGGCTACCCGTCCATCTGATACGAGCACATTCCTGGCTGCTAAGTCACGGTGGATGCACTGGGAAGAAGAGACCACAATGAGACCCAGCCAGTGTCCCCCCCCTCAGCAGTCCTAGCTGATTCCTGACAGCCCTTTGGGCCTGTCACCGAAACAACACTTAGAGGGGGCAAGAGGAACATGTACTGCTTGACAAGCCCCTGTAAGAGGCACTGTGTCGTGCACAAGGAGTACGGGCTCTGTCAAGCACTTCATTTGCAGTGCGAAGGCATTGTGACACTTCATGCCGTGTCCTTTAGTCACTCATGGGGCCGTCGTCTTCCTCATGGGAGGAGGCTCAGAGCCAGCGGCTGTTGACACTGTGCCCTCATCTCTGAAACAGTCACACGATTACTCTCTGGTACTCTAAATCAGCCAGCTCTGGCAGACAGCTCAACGGCCACTTTCAGTTCCTTGGCAGTGGGGAAGCTGCCAATGCAAGAAAGCTTCGCATCAAAGTTCCTGACCTTGTAAAAGCTGGGGAGAAAGGGTTGCATGATGCGCAGCCCCTCTGTTCCTCGCCATGATGGCCTGCCTGGAGCCCGTGGGAGACTAAGGCTCTGAAGGGAACACCATCGTGGCCCAGCATGTCTGAACCCAACAAGTGGAGCAGAGAGGCCCATTTCCAGCAGCAGCTTGCTTGAGCTTGGCCACCCCATACAAAAACATCCCGAGCCTCATGCAGACAGGATGGCTGGTGCCTGCTGGCTGGACTGGTGTTTCCCGGTTGGGGGACAGTTGTCCTCTTGGCACTCACGTTCTTTGATGCGAGGAATGCCATGCCCTGGGCCACCTGGCTGGAGAACTGTAGCAGGTCAGAGAGATTGAGGGGACGGAGGTCCTCCCTGGTTTCTTCATCTTCCTCTGAGCTTTTCCCTGAAATTCAAAGCAAAGTTTTAGAGTTGCTACAAACCTGGCGAATAATGCAAGCTATGCTGTATCCCGGTTCCCTGGGGCTAAACCAGACAGGATCACGAGAATAAAATCGTAAAAACACAGAACTGAGCCTTTAACTCACCCCTGGCTTGCGCAGAATCTGATGACGCTGAAGATGATGACGACACAGGCCTCATTTCAACATACGTTTCCAAACCCTGGCTTGAAAAGCCACTGTCACTGAGTCAGAAGCAAGAGATGGAGATGGGCTGTTAGCAACCCTTCAGCAGCACCTTCTGCCCTTCTCCACATTCACTGAGAGAAGAAACCACATCCCTGCCTGCAGGAAGTGGCTTAGCTGGAGGCTTAAGGGCAAGTCAATGTTGAGGCAGATTCGGAAAGGGGACCTGTGGTATGGGGCTCCAAGTACTGCTCCCCTTTTGCCAAGGGACTGCCTTTGGCTGATGGGGAGCACTCAGCCTCTTGTCCTACAAAATCCAACAGTGCTGGAAGCCAAAAAAGTTCCAATTCCAGATTGTGGGAGGGCAGACTGGATTGAAACCAGGATTTGCTGTGGGATATTCAACGACTGCTGTCAAAGACTTTGGAAAAAACTTGGAACTGTCACCAAGTCTGAACACACACATCCCCAGTGGCTTTTACATCCTGGTATTCTGCAGGTCCCCAGAGCTTTGGCCTTAATCTCCCCCCCCAGCACAGTCCCCCCCCCACTTCTCCCAGCAGGTAGCCCACATTGCTCAGCCCGGTGGCCACCAGAGCTCTGCTTTTACCTGCGGATGTATTTCTTCTCTAGGTCAACATTTTTGTAATCAGCAGCGCTGTCTAAAGAGGTGTCCAGGAGAGAATCTTGGATAATTATGGATTCAGCCTTCTTCCGCAAGAAATTCAGCAGATCTCCGTAGCGACAGTACTCGGTGATGACAAGGATTGGGCCTGGGAGAGAGGTGAAAAGGGTTTATTAAGAAGTGATGCTATTGTGACCTGCCCTGAGGATTGCTTTTCCTGGGAAGGGCAGCAGAACCCACACTGCACATAAGCATGTCCGGAAATGGCCAATCAACAGGCCCTTGCAAAGTTTTGGGTTCAAAATGACAGCTGAGCTCATCAGCTCTCTCTGTTGTGAGACTGAGGAGAGGTAACAGCCTCAGAGGAGCTGGCCATGGGAGAGGTGCACGGGGGAAGCAGGGCTGTGGGATCTCACCTCCATAGGTACATGCTCCCAGCAGGTTAACAATGTTCTCGTGGTGTCCCAAGTGACTCATGATCTTCAGCTCAGACATGAGAGCCTCCTGCTCATCTGTATCTGCTGTTGCTGCAAGAGAAGGGCTGTGTGAGGGAGGGACAAGGAAGAGATGGGGGGGGGGGGGGGGGGAGGACAGAAAGAGGTGTAGACAGAGAGATGGAACAAAAGGAGGAGACACACTCAGAGAGGAAATTGTGTCCTCTGTCTGTGCCTTTGGCCACGTGTGTCCACAAAAATTACAACAGCGTGATTCTAGCACCCAGTACTTATCACAGAAACATCTAAAAAAGTAGATGTTGCAGCCTGGGAGCACCAACACATGTGGCGAACACACTACATCCTGCCCAAAGGAGCTTGGGGGATTTCAGCCTTTGCAAGTTGCTCTGGGCTTACACTTTAGCATCTTCACAGCCACTTTGAGGACAGAGTCTTCTTTGCCCAGCCCAAAAGCAGTGGCTTCTACCACTTTCCCAAAGGCTCCTGCTCCAAGAGTCTTTCCTGCAGAGGGAAGAAAAAAAAAAGCGCTTAAAAGATGTTTTATAGAAAGAGATTGAGCGGTTGTCCTGCATGTAGCCTTAAGGATAATGTCTGGTGGGTGGGGATTCCTGCTG